AACGGTAAGGAGCAAGGTAAGGGGCTAGGGGTAGTAAACCAGCACCTCCCACAAATCCAGGCAAATTGCCTTAATACATATACGCACATACACACACACACACACACACACTGTCTAGGTGTATTTTACTATTAATATATATATATATATATATATATATTAATATCAAATTACACGTAGAATGATACTGATTAAATATATATAATTATTGTTAAATATATATATTTTTAAAATTAAAAAAATAATTAAAAAATATATAGATGTGTGTTATTTTGTTTTAACTGTATTGTGATATTAATATATATATTTATATCAAAATACACGTAGAACGAAGTAATATATATATCTACATACATAAATATATAAGGATATATCACTATATATATACACCTATATATAAATAAAAATATTAAAAAAAAATTATATATATATATATATATATATATACACATATAGATTCACATACATATATATATATATACATATATTAATTCTACATATATATTTATGTAATATTTTTACATAATTAGGTATCTTAATTACAATTAGCGGGACCTGCCTGACAACCCATGCCGAAAGTAAAGGGAATTTAATTTGCTAGCACTATATTTAACCCTATAACTTTCCAAGACACCATAAAACCTGTACACGGGGGGTGCTGTTCTACTCGGGAGACTTCGCTGAACACAAATATTAGTGTTTCAAAACAGTAAAGTGTATTACAATGATGATATTGCCAGTAAAAGTGATGTTTTTTTGCCTTTTTCATGCACAAACATCACTTACACGGACGATATTATTGCTGTGATACTTTTTACTGTTTTGAAACACAAATATTTGTATTCAGCGAAGTCTCCTGAGTACAACAGTACCCCTCATGTACAGGTTTTATGATGTTTTCAAAAGTTACAGCGTCAAATATAAGGCTTGCGTTTTTTTCACATTAAAATTCGCCAGATTGGTTACGGTGCCTTTGAGACCCTATGGTAGCCCAAGACTGAAAATTACCCCTATGATGGCATACCATTTGCAATAGTAGACAACCCAAGGTATTGCAAACGGGGTATGTCCGGTCTTTTTTAGTAGCCACTTAGTCACAAACACTGGCCAAAATTGGCGTTTTTTGCATTTTTCACACAAACAAATACTAATGCTAACTTTTGGCCAGTGTTGGTCAGTGCCAAAATATACAAAATACAGAATCCAGTGCACTCGCTTATTCACTAAACAATGATTCCAAATCTTAGAGATTGTAATAGTTTTTTTTAAAAACACCTCACCTAGGCAAAAAATAATGGGGGTTTAGTTACATTATATGATCATACATTGCATAAGCCCACCAACTACTATTTATGTATATAGATATCTATATTACTTTGTTATATGTGTATTTTGATATCAATATATATATATTAACACACAAATATAAGAAGAAATATATAAAAATATTGTATGTATGTATGTATGTATATAACCGCAACGGTTGTCATGGGCCCGGCGGTCCTGGGGGGCCCCGGACTGCTAAGGTCGTCCGGGACCCTGCGACCCGGTATGTACCTACAGGGCCCCCCAGAGGCTGGTCCCGCTGACAGCCGGCGCGCGAGGGAGCACTCTCCTGTGTGTGCTTCCTCTTCAGCTCCCTCGCGCACCGTACTGATGACGGAGCCGGAAGATGACGTCATCTTCCGGCTCCGGCATCAGTACGGTGCACGAGGGAGCTGAAGAGGAAGCACTCAGAAGAGAGTGCTCCCTCGCGCGCCGGCCCGCTGGGTGTCATGGAGGAAATCTGAGTGAGGGGGGGGGAGAGGGAGGGAGGGAGGAAGGAAATCTGAGTGAGGGGGTAAGTAAATCTGAGTGAGTGAGTGGGGGGGAGGAAATC